ATAAGTCTGAGCTGATCTAGACTATGTGCATTCCAGATATTTGACGCTAGCATTAATCCTGAACTCCCTGTGAACCAACGCTTTTATTTTTTTATTTTTATTTTTTCTAGTTTTATTGAGAGATAATTGTATTAGTTTCACCCTGTAGAAGTTCAAGGTGCACAACAATGGTGTGATATATGTATCTATTGCAAAATGATTACTACAATACATTTAGTTAACCTCCATCAGCCTTACATAGCTACACATTTTCTTTTCTTCTGGTGAGAACTTTCCAGATTAGTAACTTAGTAACTTTCAAATATACAATAGGGTTTTGGTAAACTGCAGTTACCATGCTGTGCTTTGTATCCATAAGACCTATTTTTTTTTTTATAATTGAAAGTTTACACCTTTTGACCACCTTTGCCCAATTGTCCTCCCAACCTCACCCTCTGCCTCTGGTAACCATAATATTCCATGTTTCTATGAGTTCTGTTCTTTTCAGATTCCATCTGTAACTGAGACCATACAGTATTTGTCTTTCTCTGTGTGACTTACTTCACGGGGCCCTGGTTCTAAGAGGGGCTGTGGACACCTTGGGAGAGAGGCCAGGAAGAAGGAAGGTGTGTCTAAGCTAGAGCTGGGTTTTGTCTCCATAGGGTAGGAGTAAATAGGAAAAAAATGCGGGGGGGGAGGGGGAAGCATAAGGAACTTTCTGGAAATCTGTGCCTTTTGCCTTCTTTCTGAACTTCCCTTCTCCCCCCCCCCATCCCTCCTCCCACCCAGAACCAGGATCCAATTTCCTCTTTTTTTCAAAATACAACTCAAAACAGATTTAATCTCTGGGGATTGTTCTGTGAAGGAAACCTGTAGAGGCAAGTTGTCTCTGAACTTGTAAGATATAAATAAATAAATAAATATATATATAAATATATATATAATAAATATATATATTTATATATTAATATTATAATATAATTAATTATATTATGTTATAATTATAATATATTTAATTTTAATATTATATTAATATTATTATATATTATATATATATATATATATTATAAATAAATATATATATATATTTCTCAGGAGCTTGGAAGTTCCCTTGCAAACCCATATTATATAATTAATATAATATAATTATAATATTATAATATATATAAATAAATAAATTTATTTATTTATTTATTTATTTATTTATTATTTTATATATATATTTATTTATTTATATATCTCAGGAGTCTGAAAATAAAAAGTCTATTTGGCATGTGAAGCCACTTGACTCTCTGGCTCCGGGCCCCCTATGTCCTGCCTGCAATAGTCATCAGCGAGGGCCCTGTCTTGTAGTTGGTGAATCTCTCCCTGCCCCCACCCCATGGGGCCTTTTCAGAAATAACCACATGGCAACTCTAAATCTGGCAAGGGGCCAGCACCCTGTGGCCCACGGTGGAGACTAAGAAGGCAGATTCCTGGGCCTCCTTCCAGATGAATATATTGGAATTTCCTAGAAGCCCCTGGGGATCCTGCTGCTGACAACCTTAGCAAGGCCTCTCTGAGCAACCTTCGTCCACTAGCCAGTGGCCCTGTTGGCCGTGGTGGGTGCTGGGGGCCTTTCTTACACACTGCTTCACAGACTGGGTTTGCAAGGGAACTTTCAAGCTCCTGAGAATTGCCTCCCGATGCTTCAGTCATTCTGAAGTGAAGTCACATGTGATGGGGTGGGTGCTGTTCAGTGTGTGAAACATGTGACCCCTTCTGGTGCCAGGTGTAGTGAGGGCACAGGGTGACACAGTATGATGTGCTGGGGTCACCTGACATGTGTTGTCCCAGCCTGCACTTGAATGGTGTAGGAATGAGCTCCCTGACCTCCCATCACTCATGGCCATGGATGCGAAACAGATGGTCCCACAGAACACCTGGGCCTCCCAGCCCTCTGGGACAAGCCATCTGTAATCTACCATGGGCCACCTGTGTCTGTGGGCCTCCCTGCTAGGAGTCACCAGGCCAGCACTTTCAAAGCTGTCTTCTGAGCGACATCAGTATGTCAAGGAATGTGAAAAAGCATTCTCCCACAAACACACAAAACTAGCAATATTTTCCCTTACAATTTATTTTGAAAAAAAAAAATGTGTACGAAAAGTAATATAAATATGAATGTGCTTATCATCATGTGAGAATCCACCTTTACAAAATGGGATGCACTAGTGAAAGATGCCAGGAATTCATGCTGGGGTGTGCTCCTCACAATACGCTGTGATAGATGGTGAGATCCGACCAGAGTTGGGACCAGCGTCCTCTCATATATTGGAGGACTGTTACACTGGGGGGCCCCACACGTGGGCCCATGGGACATTAGAAGCATGACGGAAGTGTTGATCTGACAAGTGCTTGCTTCCCCTCTTGGGGCTTGGTCTCTTGGAACACTCTTGGAGAAGCAAGCCACCAACCTGTAAAGAAGCACAGGTAGACTAGGGAATGATGGGATAGCACCTGGAGAGAGAGCCACCTTGTGGAGGAGCTGAGGCACCAGGTGTTTTGGTGGGTCTTCCTGAACTTTCCAGCTTAGCCCAGCTGAATGAGTGTGCTGGAGAAGAACCACCCAGCTGAGCCCTGCCCAAATTCCTGACCCACACAGTTATTGCTGTGTTAAGTCACTAAGCTTTGGGGTAGTTTGTTACATAGCAATGGTTAATGGAGATGCTTATAGGAGGTGTGTAACAAATGTGTATGGAATGAGTGATTGGCAAATCACAGTGCTAATCCCTTACACTGGTCTTGCATACTCATTAAGTTGATCACAGGTACTTTCTGGTGTGATTCTTGTGATGGTTAATTTTATGTGTCAACTTGACCAGGCCATGGAGTACCCAGATAAGTGGACAAACATTATTCCCGGAAAGTACTTTTGAATGAAATTAACATTTAAATTGCTAGACCAGTAAAGTAAATTGCCCTCCATACTGTGGGTGGGCCTCGTCCAATCAGTGGAAGACCTGCATAGAACAAAACCTGTACTATCAGGCCTGACAGCTTTTGAATTGGGACCTCAGCTTTTCTTGCTTCTAGGTTAACCTGCCAGCCTTCCACAAATTCTGGACTTGCCGGCCCCTGTAATCGCATAAGCCATTCCTTATAGTACATTTCTTTACCTGTAGATATAGGTATAGATATACAGATATAACGTACTGGTTTTATTTTGTTGGAGAATCGTGAAAAGTATAGATTATGGTACCAAGAACGGGTGCTGCTATAACAAATACCTAAGAAATGTGGATGTGGCTTTGGACCTGGGTACTAAGGAAAGGTTGGAAGAGTATCGAGGTACATGCTGGAAAAATCCTGATTGCCTTGAAGGGACTGTTGGTAGGAATATGGACACCAAAGGTGCTTCTGGTAGAATCTCAGGAGGAAATGACAAAAGTGCCAAAAGGAAAGGCAATCCTTGTTGTAAAGTAGCAAAGAATTTGGCTGCTTTGTGTTCCTAGTGTTTTATGGCAGGCAGATCTTATGAGTGACAGCCTTGGATATTTAGCGGAAGATTTTATTCTTTCTTTTTTTTAATGTTTTATTTTTACTTTTTAAAACCATTTTTAAGTGTATTTATTTATCTTCAGAGAGAGACAGTGTGAGAGGGGGTGGGGCAGACAGAGAGGGAGAGGGAGAGAGAGAGAGAGAGAGAGAGACCCAAGCAGGCTCTGCGCTGCCAGCACAGAGCCCAATGTGGGGCTTGAACTCACGAACCGTGAGATCATGACCTGAGCCAAAATCAAGAGTCGGATGCTTAGCTGACTGAGCCACCCAGGCACCCCTATTTTTACTTTTGAGAAAGAGAGAGAGAGTGCAAGTAAGGGAGGGGCAGAAAGAATGGGGCAGAGGATCTGAAGTGGGCTCTGTGCTGACAGCAAAAAGCCCAATGCAGGGCTCGAACTTACAGTGAGATGACCTGAGCCGAAGTTGGAAGCTTAACTGACTGAACCAACCAGGTGTGCCATAGCAGAGGATTTTTTCTAAGCAAAGTGTTGGAGGGGTGGCCTGGTCCCTCTTTACTGCTTATAATAAAATGTGAGAGGAGAGAGAGAGAAATTAAAAGAATTTTTCAGCAAAAGGGAACCAGAACTTGAAAATTTAGAAAATCCTCTGCCTATCCATGTTGCAAAACATGAGAAAACGTGTTCTGGAGAAACCACTTAGGATGTGGCTGGATGGTCATTCTGTAAAGATTATCCACAAATTAGTCAGCCATCTCAGCGGAAGCCAGGAATAGAGTTGAGATTATACCAGCAGAGGCATTGGCAGTGGGGACCAAAGGGGACAGAGAAAATGGAATGAAGTTAGGCTGTCAGATTTCTGGGATCTACAGGTCAGGGCAATAGAGGATCCAGCCTCAAACATGGTTGTCCTTCTAGAGGAGGGAAAGTGACCATGATGGTGGTTCAGAGATTATCAGAGCTGTTACGCCCATCTCCAGCCCAGGGAACAAGACTGTTTCCTCCTGGCTTCAGGGGGTAGGGTCGCCTCCTCAGGGTCAGGGGGCCAGGATGCCAGCCCAGAGCTGAAAGAGCAGGACCACTGCTGAGGGTCATGGGGTGGGCATGGAGGGCAGAATATTGAGCTAAAGAAGATTGACCTGGAGCCTTAAGATCAAATGGAATTTGCCTTGTTGTTTTGGACTTGCTTGGGGACTCTTAACCCTATCCTTCTTCCCAATTTCTCCCTTTTGGATGGGAACGTCTGTCTTATGCCAGTCCCACCATTGTGACCTGGAAGCACGTAACTGGTCTGGTCTCACAGGTTTGCAGCTGGAGAGGAATTTTGCCTCAGGATGACTCATACTTTGAGTCTCACCCATACCTGATTTAGGTGACATTTAACGAAACTTTGGAGTTGGAATTGATGGATGGGTTACGACTTTGGGGCTGTTGGAATGGGGTGAATGTATTTAACATGTGAGAGCGATGTGAATTTGTGGGGGCTAGATGGCAGAATGTTATGGACTGAACTGTGTCTCCCCCGAGATGTTGAAGACCTAATCTGACGTGCGACTCTGTTTGAGAAGGGGACTTTAAGGAGGTAATTAAGGGGAAATGGGGTCAAAAGGGTGGGCCTTCTCTAATGAGCTCTCCCTTTAGCCTCGTGTGCACAGAGAAAAGTCCATGTGAGGACACAGCAAGAAGGTACAACTACAAGCCAAGGATATAGGTCTCACCAGAAACCACATTGACCGGCACCTTGACTTTGGACTTCCAGCCTCTAGACCTATGAGAAAATAAATTTCTGTTGTTTAAACCACCTAGTATGAGGTCTTCTGCTATGGCAGACACAGTTCCTCATGCCGTTGGTGAGGGAGGAGTCATGCACACTTGGATTTCAACTTCAGCTTTCACTGACTGACTCACTTGGCCGCTACTGAAGTTCTAGTACTGAAGTTCAGGCACTGTACAGGCACCGGGTTTCAATGGTCACAGTGCCTGTCCTCATGGAGCTTAGAGTCACGTAAGGGAGCTATAGCTTCACCAAATAACTACTCAAATAGACAAAATAACAACGGGGGTGAGTGCTGTAGGGGGATGTCACCTCATCAAGGAGGTCAGGGGCAAGTTCTTGAAGAAGTGACACCAGACCTGAGACACGAAGGGTGATTAGGAGTAAACCGGGTGAAAAGGGGAAGGAACATGCAGAAGGAACAGCATGTGCGAAGGATGCACCCACCAAAGAGGGAGTTGGTGAGTGTTCAGGGGACTAGAAGTGCATCCTGTCTGGCACAGAGAGGAGAGGGGCAGGAGGACAGAGTTCAAGATGAGGCTGGATCTCTCGAGCTGGGTGGACCATGGCAAGACTTTGTCATAAGAGTGGTAGGAAGCCACCAGGAGTCTGGCGTGGTCAGATTTGCGTTTCCAAAAGATGCCTGTGGCTGCTGTGTGGAGACCATGGAGGGGGTCGATGCAGGAGTCCAGGAGAGGCATGCAGAGGGCTTGGACCAGACTGGCGGCTACAGAGATGGAGGGAAGGGCTGGACTGGGGAGCTATCTATGAGGATAAAATAACTGGGCTTTGGGAGATGCAGGTGTGGGAGGAGTCAGGCACGACCTGAGTTCTTGGAGTCAAGCTCCTGGGTGGGTAGTGGTGCTGCTCACTAGGGAGAGAAGATGGGGAGGAAAGACAGGGAGGACCAAGTCAGGGGCGGGGGCAACTACCTACTAACGGGGTGAACTCAGGCAGGTCACTCAGAAACCTCTGCATGCCTCAGTTTCCCTATCTGGGATAAGTACTCTATGTGATGGGATGTATGTAGAACCCAGCTCGGGGTAGCTGCTTCTGCACATCAGTGCTTCCGGTCTTTCCCTCTGTGAGGCGGCCTGGCCAGAAGTGATTATTCCCATTTCAAGGATGAGGAAGCTGAACCTCTGTGAGGCCGGAGTCTCGCCCAAAGTGGCACACCTTTAGAAGCAGGCTTACAGGGGGGTCATGGGAAGAACCTTCCCTCTTTGCCGGCCTGCCTTTAGCATCAGCACGCAGGTCCCCAGGGCAGAAAGTGGTCACTCATCAGTTGCACGGTCACCACTGGAGGCCTGGGATGGTGTGGGAAAAGAGGGCAAAATTCAGGTGGGACACGCAATGGTGGGGAGGGGATCAGAGAGTGCTGGAGTGAGGGGCGGGCCCACCGTCCACAGAGGGGCAGGCAGTTGAACACCAAATGCATCCAGTAGCCAACTTCTAACATGCAGGGAGTTCACAGAGTTTAGTTTTTACTCACACAAATTCCAAGATGGTGCTCTGAGTGGCAGGCAGTCTTCCCCCCCAGGCGGAGATTCGGGCACCTCGGCTCCTTCTGTCTCGGGGCTCTCCCGTCTCTTAGGCCATGTGGTCACAGCAGAAGGGGAAAGAAGGGTGGAGGAGGTAGATCAGCTTCTTAACACCCTCAGCCCGGAAGAGAGACATGCTGCGTCTGCTCACACTCCATTGGCCACCTTTGATGGCACAGGAGGTGGGAATGTAGTCCAGAGGGGTGCCCAGGAAGAGGATGACATGAGTTTGGTGACCAGCCACCCAGCCCTGCTGCAGTAGGTCTGCTACAGCTTGGCCAAGGGGTGCGGTACACTCTGGCTCTATTGGAATTTCCCCAGACAAGAGAGGACTGGCCCTAGGGTAAGTAGGTTGAAGGGGCCAGGCTTGATCCCAGTACACTGGCTGATGGTTGACAGGGAGGGCCCTTGATGGGTGTACGTTCAAGGGCTACAGAAATAGCCTCCAGCCAAGGCCAATGGGAAACCTGTCCTGAGTTCCTTTTGAGAGCTAGTGAACAAACCCCTACCAAAACAATTGCGGGCTGGTAGAGAGAGGGGCGTTGTGAACTTTAACTGGGCGGCCTCAATAAGGGGAAGGGACGTTTGAGCAAAGACACGAAGACGCCGAATCATAAGGATATCTGTAGAAGCGCGAAAAGAGTAGCAAGTGCAAAGGCCCTGTGGTAGGAGCAGGCCTGCTGTGTTCAGGGCCCCACTGCAATAATCACTGAGATGATGGTGGTAAGAGTGAGTGGGGGCAAGGGGAGAAGTGGTTGATTCTTGATCTCTTTTGTATGTTTATCCCTCCTTACCTCACTTCCTTCCTTTTTCAGTCTTCTAGAAGGGATGCACGAAGACACCCTGAGGTGTTTCCTCATCTAGACTGTAGGTGCCCTTTTAGACTGTAAACCCCATGAGGGCAAGGCCTGGGCCTGACTTCTCTCCTTACCCTTACACCTGGCACGGGGAGGGCCCATCGCCAGTGCCTGGCAAACATGTCTATGGAGAGACTGCACGTCCTCCCGAGTCATCAGATTTCATGGGGCTGAGCCCAGGCCCTGCTTGTCAGCATATTGCTCACTGATGTGGAAAGCTTTCCTGTGGTCCAGACACTCCTGACTCCAGTCTAAAGAGACCTTCTAAAGAAGGTCAGTGCATCCAAAGGAAGGAGATGCCTCTATGTCCTGAGCTCATAGCGGTAACTGCTGGGAAGACAACATCACTGGTTCTATTTTATCCTGGATGTTCCCAGCTGCTGGTTTCCCAGGAAGTGACAGGATGCACAAATGGCTGTGCCCAGCAGGGATCCCTGACCCCACGCAGTCTGGCCCTATGCTCCCACAGTGCTGGGCACCGCACAGCTCACTCACTGACTTGTGGGTGGGATCCCCAGTGGTTTTTGAGGGGCGTCATGAGCTTGGTCGTGGGGTGCCTTTTCCTCACTGTCCTGCAGCCTTTCTTTAAGCGAGGCCCTTCCCTGCAACGCCCCTGCCCCCTCCCCCCCCCCCCCGACTTGTACAGGAACTTGGATACAACTGAGGTTTACAGCCCGGCAGGCCCTGGATTTGAGAGGGCTTCGAGAAGCCCTGAGGTCTTAAATTCAAAATGATGCTGCAGGCTTCCGGCTTTCTCCAGAATCGCATTCGGGGAGTCATGTGTTTCCTGTGCTCTCGTGCCACAAATTAACTGCCTTTTCACTTTTCCCACAGGTTTCGCCTCTCATCCTACGTGGCAGGGTATCGCGGTGTAGCGGTTACAAACGTACGAACACTGGAATAGGACAGATGTGAGTGGGCGTCATAGCTTCTGCTCCCACCAGACCTCTGAGCCTCAGTTTATTCGTCTGTAAAATGAGCACAGAGTATCCACCCTGGGGCTTGGTTGGGAAGATTAGTTGAGGTCGTGACATAATGCCTAAGCCCACAATAAATGCTAAATGCGAGCTATTACCCTGAACAATGACTCGAAGCGAGGTGGGGCTCCGGGCTGGCCAGCAAGATGCCGGCTCCTCATCTTGCTCCTCTTTCCGCCAGCCTCTTGGTCCAGTTTCAGATCAGGCCAGAGGAAAATGAGAAAGCCTTGCACATTCTGGGACTTTGGGGGAGTCTGTGAATAGCTGAATCCATGAATGATGCCTCTGCAGGTGCCAGGGCCCGACAGCCCCACCCTCGCCCAGTGCCAGAGCACTGCCTGCCAGACCCTTGTCAGCGGTTACAACCAGCAACTGCCTCCCGCTGCCCGAGTTTTATCAAAAGCTCAGTTGAGAGAAATGAAGTTCATGGGGGTTATTTAAAGGCCATGCATTCCATCCATTCTTCCAGATGAGACTTATCCCTGAAGCGAGTCGGGGCTCTCATGAAGCTGAGTTGCTCTCGGACCACATGATTTAGCCACCACAAAATCTTTATTATGTCCCTCCCTTATGATGGGGCTTTACAGAAAAGGGCTGGAGGAGTCCGGCTGTCGCCTTTATTTGGGGATGCTGCTATTGCCAGAGTTTGCTGCCTCAGTCAGCGCTCTCTATAAGACCGACGGGGAGAAATATATTTTAGGCTCCAGTTCCTGGCAAAGCTCTGTGTCCTCGGAGGAATCAGTGGGCTTCTGACCTATGGGCAGTGTGACTCACGAAACTGACCCCCATTCTCATTTTACTGGGGCTGCCAGGAAGCTCAGATTTGGGGATCAGTTTTAAGAACCCTTGAAGATCCCTTGACCTGTTACACAAGAGAGATGATTTCTTTCCAGATGCTGATTTCTAGCAGATGGGATTATTATTATTATTATTATTATTATTTTGTATGTATCTTGTCACCTGCGTCAGGGCTCTGGTGGGACCGGAGTGGGAGTTTCTATCCTGGAAAGCAAGGGATGGAGAATTGGCCAGGGTGGGTAGGAGAAGAAGCCGGCAGGACATGAAGGGGAGGAAAGGGCACACAGCGTGGCGGCTGGGGGACAAGTCCCTGTCTAGGCCCCCATGGAGATGGGGGCGGGGGAGGTCTGGCTTCACTAAACCAGAGGGTGTGAAGAGACATTTTCCATGAATTTAGGAAGAGAACTGTAGCCATTGCTCAACTTGAACTTCTCCCTGTGGCCCCCTCTGGCTTTTTGGGTATTTCTGGGATGTTGTGAAACACCGAAACTTGCAGCGTCTCCTTTCTCTTCCTCTTCGCTCCCCACCCTGGGCCCTCCTGCCCCCCTTTTCCCTTTCCTTCCCTTGCCCCCTCCAGCGACCGCTGCCCTCCGTTCCTCTGTGGGGCCCAGGGTGGCTGCTGAGCCCGAGGCCACCAGCCGTGCTGCTGGAGCAAACAGGGGAGGGTGAGGACTTCAGATCCCGGGAACGAGCAGAGAACAATCACGGAGCGCTCTACTCTGCGCCGCACATGTAGACACCCACGTGACCGTCGTTTATCTGGTTTATGTTTCTGCGTCCCACGCGCGCTTGCCTCACTGTCCTGGCGAGGCCCCTTCATCTACCTGTTTGTCCATCTGTCTAGTCCAGGGCTTCTCAGCCCCAGCACTATCGAGATTGGGGCTCAGGCACTTCCTTGCTGTGGGGCCTGTTCTGTGCACTGTAGGGTGTTTTGCAGCATCGTTGGCCAGGAGCCCCTCCCACCCCGTGGCAATCAAAAAGGTCTCCAGACATTGCCAAATGTCCTCTGGTGGAGGTGGAGGTGGAGGCAGGGGTCCGGGGTGGACTGTCCCCAGGTTGGGAACCACCGTCCCTTCCCCCCCGTTCCTCACTAGTATCGCTCCCTGACCGAAACCTCTCTGGCGTATTCACGGGTATCCAGTTTGTGTTTCTTTTGGCAGCCCTGTTCACTGCCTGCTTGCATACTGTGCCCTGTTTTCTCTTGGGGTTACCGTCCTCTTCCGACTGTGGCAGAGGGCGGTCCTCGTGCATTCTCGATATCGGCCCCCGGTTGCTTTGGGCTTGTAGGGCCCTCTCCCCTCTGTCGGTTGTCGCCTCACAGGTGAGGACTCACAGGCACAGAGCTCACAACGCTAGTGTGCTAGAGCCAGGACACAAGCCCAGGCCTCTGTCCCCGGAGCCCAGGCTCTCGATCCCTGGCCTCCAGCGATGCCCCTGCCTTCCAAATAGGCCTCTGCAGGAAGGCAGACAAGATCAGGCAGTGAGGCTGCGGGAGGGGAGGGAGGCAGCTCGCTGGAGGTCACGCAGCACCACCTGGATGGCTTTGATGTGACGCCAAGTGTCCGGGGAGTTGGATTCAGCCTTTGTTCTGGTCTAGGGATGGCCGAGTGATTTTGCTTAAACTCTGATAGGAGCCCCGGGCTCTGGTGAGCGGAGGAGGTGCGGGAAGGGCTCTTTGCTAGTTCTGCCTGGGCGGAGGATGTGTGGGGCTCACAGACTCAGAATGGGCGAATTTCTGGACGTGGGCTTTCTGTCCCAGGCCTCTATGGGCAGCGATGCCCTCTGTGCCCTGGGCGCTGGTGGAAGAGTGCTTCTTACCAGGCCCTGTGGATGATTGATGAGGGGGAACAGAGGGCACAATGGAGGGGCTTTGTTCCCTAAATGCCATTCACATGACTCTCTGACCTCAGGGCTCTTCCCCTTTCTCTTGTCTTTTTCTCCTTCACTGCATTCGGCTCTGCTATGGTTTTCCTTCTCCGTTTTTCTTTTCTCAATACACACAAAGCCTTCGGAGGGCTGGGGTGACCCCCAGGCCTCCTGCCTCTTGCTGAGGTTGGTTTCCAGTTCCTGGACTGCGGTCCTGGGGCCGTCTGCCCGGGAAGGGCCTGGGGAGGCCTCCGGGGCCTGGTTGGGAGCAGACAGGCACTTCTGGCTTAGAGCTTCAGCTTCACTTTCTAGGAGCCTTGTCCACACTGGCTCTAAACTCTGACTGCTCAGTCAGAACTACCGGGGTAACTTTCCAAACAGATTGATAACCAGGCCCCAACGTTGATTTTGTTGCTCTGGAGTGTGACCCAGGGATGGATATGATATAACATCTCAGATGATTGTGATGTGTGGGCGGGAGTGATTATGTGCGGCCCACTGTTTTCCTGAGGGCCAAGGGTCACAGAGAGAACACGGAATGCAATTTGGGAGAACTGGGTCTGGTCAGATAACCCTTGGCTCGCCATGTGTCCCTGGGCAAAGCCCCTTCTCTCTTGGGCAGGAGCTCCCCACGAAGAGATGACAGATTTGTGGAATTTTAGACGTGGAAGGGGCCCAGAAAACCAGCCAATCCATCCTTTCGTTCTATGAACACAAGCACTGGGCATGTGTACATGTGCGGGGTGTGGAAGCGGATTGCCCAGGGTCCCGCAGGGCCTCGCAGGGTCAGGCATGCAGGCCAGGCTTTGGGCTGTCTCCTCCCACTGACTACACTCTGCTGGGCCCCTCAGGGAGTTCTCTCTAGATTAGACCGTTGGGGAGACTGTGTCTCTGGGAGTGAGTACCGAGGGGTCTCCCCACCGTTTATTGGGATGGGGGAGACTGACCTTCTAGATCCTGGGAGGCAGGAAGCAATGGCTGGAGCCAGAGGGACTGCTCCCGGCCTCACTTTGCAAGAGAACTTTTTGCAGAGCTGCTGACTTTTTGCAGCTGTTTTACGGGGCCTGTGGACCGAAAGGGGAAGTTTGGCTGCATTTAGAAAGTTGTCCACAAAGAGGAATGGCGGGGGTGGGGGTGAGGAGGGTGGCTGGGTTGCAGAGTGGGGGAGGAAGGTGGGTGATCTGGGAGAGATGCCAGCAGGGGCCCAAGGACAAGGGTTTGATTTGGGCCCACATGTTGTCACTTTGGGAGCTCTCGGGGTTGGGTGGGGTGGGGGTGGGGTGCTGGGGAAAAGCAAAGGGGACAGAAAAAGAAAGAAAAGAAAAGGAGGGGGTGGGGGAGAATGAGTTCCCAGCCAGGGAGCCCAGCTTTTTCTTGGATTGAAAGCAAACACTGAGTGTGCTGGGAGCACGGCCAGTCCTCCCCAAAGGCCCAGCCAGTGGTTTCCTCCAAAGGGGTGCGGGGAGATGGTGAGAGGTGCTGAGACAGAGGGAGAAGCTTTGTCAAGATGACCCAGCCCTACAGTGGGGCATGTTAAAGGAAGAACTGCCCCCTCCCCCAAGGTGGGCAGCTTGAGCTGTTCCGTCCCTAAGGCTAGGGATGCATCTACCCCATCCCTGGACTGACCTGGGGCTTGGGTCCCACGGTAGCGGCAGGAAGAATACTGGAGACATGACTGAAGATGTTCACACCACAGTTTTCTGTTCCTGCTAGCAATCCCACTGCCTCGTACCAAGTGCCCCGGCCCCAGGAACCAGGGAGAAAAATGGAGCTCCCGATGACCACTCTGGTCACACTCTTCCTGCCCCCACCAAGCCCACAGTTCTCCCTCAGTCTCTGGCACCTGCAGGGTGCTACATTCTGCTGCCCCCATGCTGAGCCTTGTCATAGTGTGTACGTGAGGATGGGGTGACAGGAAGGGCGTGGGGCGGACTGCAACTTTGACCCGGAGTTCTCGACAGAAGATCCTGCCCCTGGTGGAAGTGTGCTGAGCAAACCTTCTTGTCCCAAGTGTCCCCCTGCCCCCAACAAGACCATGAGGAGACGATCCAGCGGCAGAGATGATCTGCCCTAACACTGACTGTGTCACACTGGCCACAGAGACGGTGTCACTGCCCTTCTCAGGAACATGGTAGAACCAGCAACCAGAGGGATCTGCTCTGAGGGAGGAGGGGAGGCCTACGCTGGTTCTGCCTTCCTGGTGAGCATCTGAGGCCAGAAGTCCAACCCTCAGAGCCTACTCAGTGTGCCCTTGTCACACGAGGCAACTCAACTCAGCTCAACAGGACTCTGTGTTTAATGAGTGTTCAATGAGTCTTTACTGAGCACCAGACATGTGCCAACCGCCGTGCTACGAGCTGGGGATGAGGAAGAGTGCAGACAGACATAGTCCCTGGTGGAGGCTACTTGAGGGCTCGTACGGGTTCCATG